TTTTCACAGCGTGGTCAAGATTTTTATCAATGATTATAGTAATGACCAGTGTTATCTTTTCTCGCTGAAAGCTTTATAGTGTTAAACTGGAATACTAAGTAATCAGCTAAGTAACACATCAAAGATCATAGGTCATGGCAATGTGGTCGTGGGAATGTGATCATGAATGAACTTGTGTACATTTTCTTCAATGTAATATCGCAAGCCTATAAAGATCTCTTTAATCACAAAGTCGTTCATTGATATTGTTTCACGACCTCAACGATCTTGAGTACCTTCATTAAAATTACTGTAGTACTCATCTACTATTACGCCCAAGAATTACCGCCTAAAGCGACATGTGTGTAGGATTTAGGGCGTCCATTTTTGCCGGGTAGATACCCTGATCAAGACAACCAATCTGAGCTTATGTGTCGTAGCGGTCGGAAACAAGCCGGTCTGAAGGAATCCACATACACCAGGACTTCAATCTATATGACATTTTTATATCTTACTGTAGTAGTAGCTTTTCACAAACCCAGTGGACGGTGTTCTATGGATAAAGAAGAAGATAGCTCTCCCTAAAACGTGATCCTGTTTTTAAAAAATATATTTTGTGTTTTTTGTCACAACTTGACTCAGGGTCCATTTTGGGTGTGGTATTCGCCTCAGTTGTTTTATATTCCTCTCACAAACAACCATGCTGTAATTCTGAAGGGTGCAGTCTTGGATTCCACATTCACGTTCATTTCAAGGGCACTGTAAACTTCCTGACTCACTGATGAACTATAGTCACGAACGTCGTCACCCTTAGGAATACACACTTGAACACACCCAATGTAAATCAATGACAACGGTATCTTATTGCAACAAAGTTTAAATGATGTTGCAGCTTTACATGCAACATGATCCACATTCCCGAGGAAATACCGGTTCCCGATATAGGTGTGGCTTCCAAGTCATGAGATAGCTTCCTTAGGTCGCTGTGTCACCTTCGTATAAGCCTTGATTGGACAGTTCGAGCAAACGCGAGCAGTCATTCAGTTGGTCCACCCCAAACCCTTCTTCTCCAGACTAAAACTAGTAGATGGTACAATATCAATAAGGAAGATAGAATTTGCTCACTTTGTAAAATGAATATAAGGGATAACTATCATTTATATTTCTGAGTCGTGATTGTACCATTTAAGAAATAAACATCTTTCATCTTATTATGGTAGACTGGTACACTATAGTATCGCGGTAGTTATTTTATAATGGATCGTAATGGCGAACGTTTACTAACCTATTAAATATGTCACAACAAAATGTTTCTTTTTCTTTGTTCAACTTTTATGACATATCACTTAGGATTGTTTGATGCTGATTTTCTTTAACAAGTTCGGCAACTGTTTTTTTAGGTGTGATATATGTGGATTACGTGGTTAACATCACTTCCTAATTTCGATTATGCATAATCAGTTTGCATACGACCAAGGTTGGGTCAAGGGGCATTGCCCAAACAAATGGCTTCTTTTCTAACCAATTTCGAATTAGGGTAGGGGTAATTCCACTTCAAAAACATTCAGGAAACTTTCATAAAAAAAATAACTTGTATACCTACGAGTAGCCGTGACATACCGCAACGAGTCTTGTATACGATCAAGCAATGAAATATCATGCTTAGATTTGCATAACTAAACAGTCGACAGTGGTGTGTGGATTACGATATGTACTGATACCGCGATAATATAGAGCCCGCAAGAGGTTTGAGTCATACTTTAAAGATCTAAGTATGACAAAAGATATGTCACTTTATCATGCTCCTATTAAATGTTGATTGCGTATATTCAGTGCTATTTTCAATACTAAGACTCAGGTGTTTTATAACATTGGGAAGAAACATCTGGGTATATGTTGTGACCGCTATCATTGTTATTTATTTATTGTTTTTGCCATAATATTAATGTTTCATCTTGTTTAGTTTTATGTCTTGTCTGCGCCCGGCCGTCATGTGTGCTCATCTGATGACACAGAATCATGTACTTTTCATCACATGCTATACCCATGTGGGAAAAATAGCGTGTTCATTCGAGAATATATTAGAGAAATAATTTCATCACTGAATACATACTAAATTGTGTCATTGTCAGGATTTTCACTAAAATGTAGTGCATTTTGAAGGACAGAAAACAATAGCTTTAGCCAGTCCAGTTGTATTTAAATGGCATGCTGAATATCAGATGTCCCGCATAAAAACCTAAACATATCGTAACACTATACAATGTGTTTAAGCAAGTTGATCTTTGGAATGACTTTTTATAGTTATTTGTTTATGACGAACTGTTTACTTTCCTACTTGAATAAAAACACCACTTAAGAATGACTGGTTTGAAAGCAAAAAATCCTTATTTGCAATGGCTGTGAACATGAATTCATACTAAGTTGATAATATTCAGTTTGAGAGGTATATCTTTATAACATGTGTCAACAAAGAACCTATGAAAACTTTTTAGAAAGGAACGTATTGTTATTTGAAAAACATATGTATTTGTCTCTCCGATAAGAGATGGATACAATTGCTAACCTGTCTGAGGTGTAAGCAACATATCACCTGTAATACAAACACTTATAGTCGTGCCAAACTCCTACATATTAGCCATCCCTGTCTTTCAATAGTCCGCGAGACGAATTGAACACGCATTTAGGGGATTTGTTGGTGATGTGCTTTCATTGCCAGAGCCAGTGGGAAAATGTTATTGAACTAAAACCCAAATACACGGCTATGTGGTTAACTGAAAGAAAGATAGTTCCAGCACATAAACATTTGCTAATCCTCCGTAGACTTTGCTCAATACATGACCAGAGTATTCTCGATTAATGATGCCCCTGAAAACCTTTATAAGTTACGTATGAATCAGTGGTTTCCACGAAAGTGTTGCTACAGTGAAGTATATGGCGACAAAGGCCACTTCATGACATATTTCTCGTTTGTATCAGCACTTAACTACAACATATTCATCGTTTGTATCTTCTCATACCTGAAAACTACATCGTTCGTATCTTCTCATACAAAAAAACTACGACACATTTATCATTTATTCTTCTCATACATGTACCAAATATCTACGACGTATCCCTGGTATATATATGCATACGTAGGGTTTGCGACGTCATGTTGACGTTATACTTCCGTCATGTTAACGTCTTGCTTTTGCCATGTCCCCCTCATGCTGTCATCATGCCCAGCACCAGGCTGTCGCCATGCCCTAATCACATAGTCGTTGTCCTTACGTCATGCCACCGTCAGGCAACCGTCCTTTTACCACCATGTTACCATCTACTTTAGGCATTATTTTGAAGTCCTTCACTTACCGACATGTCCGAGCAGACGGTTCGTGTGTCTAATCCGTACGTACCCGTGTGTCTTTATGCTTTCAAAACAACATTCAGAAGTTGATGAGTCACGGTTGAACAATTTACTAGCCATGGTAATTAGTTCGAAACTCGTGAACCCGAAGTCAGTCGGGTCAGAATAGGCCCCCAACACTCTATTGCTGTGGTTGATCGCATGTCTCTATATTCCGACAGTGTGGGACGCTGCTTGTAATACCCACACTGGCTTATTTGGGCCAAACTCGCTTTATTTTATTGACAGGAATAGTGATAGCGCAAGAATTCTGATATAGCAGGAATACTGATATAGCAGGAATATTGATATAGCAGGAATACTGCTGAAGGCTGTGTTTAGAGATAGAGCCGATTTCGTGAAACAATTATCTTTTGATTTTGATCTTTAAACAAATATGATGATTAACTACAGTATTAGTGATTCCATGTATATCTGATTCAACAATCTTTTAATAAGTTATATAACCATTTGAGGAATATGATGAAATATCCAATATCACAGTCGTACTGTGTCATATATCAAATAATTTGACATCTCATTATGCACCACTGTTTATGATGCATAACGCTTAAGCCAGTGCTAGGTCTTAATTACCACATTACTACATCCATTGACTCTCCACGCGTTAAACCATCGTCAGACTGCACAGACTCGAAAACTTCTTCATGAGAAGTATAGACGATGGGGGTTGTGGCGGAACCCACCCGAACTCTATCAATACTTCTATTGGGGTCTTTTTATGCGAATTATGCGATGTGATCCAATGATCGTAGTCTACTTAAGCTAACTTGTAAAGAAAAGTGATTCTGCGGCAACCCTACCTAAACCATTCCTGAACCCTATCAATGCTTCACCATTTATGTGAATTATATGATGACTATCCATGGATCTTCATGTATCAAGATGCATATAGAGGATACAATATATTCTTAATTTCAAACCAGATCTGTGGTTTGGGGTGGAATGCTTGGCGCGCTTGTTGTCTCCTCTATTCTTTAAACTCTTTTTTCTCATCTTCACTAATGCCGCTGGTCTTACGATAATTTGATCGAATTTCCTGCTTCATTGCTTTGTGTTTGGAGAGTTCTGACAACACTAAATGAAACTTCTCCTCGTATATCTTGCCAGGGCTGTTGAGATATGATCCTCAAGGCTATTAAACTTTGCTTCAGCCAACACACAAATACTATATTGTTTTGATGCTTTCTTTTGCAATTTACAAGAAATAAATTTAAGAGCTATTCCTGCCAGGTCAGAAACTCCGGCTGCTACTTCCATGCCAAGAATGATAGGCGTGGTGATAATAGATGATATAAACTAACACCAGCTGCACCAAGTCCCATGCTAGCTGCTACAAGTGCAGTGTCAAGAGCATTCACAACTCTGCGATACTTTTTATATAATCAAATTCTAAAATCACACTCTTTCTCTACTTGATGTTTTATTTCACTTACTTGATGTCACCAAAATCCTTCAACAGTATCCATTTTTTCAGATGCTACATCCAGTGCCGAATAAAAACCCATAATATACACAATCATATTATACAAGAGTCTTGAATTGGCCGATCAACAATGTCTTATTAGATGTATATTGTATGGCATAAATATCTTAGTAGCAAAATGCTCACCCCATTAACTGCAACATTAGGTTCTGTGAATATAACTTCTTTCCTCTTGTACACATTGCCCTCGATACTGGGTTTATGAGAACCTTCTGTGCCTCCAAGATTGGAGATGTGGTGATGCGTTCCAGGACCTGAAGAATCAACCATTATTAATAATATGGAGTGATACACTCAAATATCCAATATGAACAGGCTGATGTTTTACATGAAATACAGAAACTTTGAGCTCTGTAATAATGCTCCGCTTTCCCTTTTTACTGTAATTAGGAGAAAGATTCTGTTTTCCACTATTGTATTTTTCATCTTTGACTGGAATACCTCTTAGTAGAGTTGAAAGACTTTTGAGTTGAAAATTATTCGTTGTACTAACCTATTCAAGATGGATGCACAACTCTTGATAACAAACTCTATCGGGGAATTTATCTCCATGCACTGTTGTGTTGGGTGTCACTTCTCTTCTTATAAATCCAAGTGTATTTGCCTATAGAATTTGTTCCACTGCTTAAAATCAGCACCACATTTGACTCATTTAGTGTGAGACCAGCTCCCAAAGGTTTTCATGATTGAGTGAGCATACACTGTAATATCCATCGGATATAATGCAATGTTCTTTATCTAGTCATAAATTATTGATACCTCTTTCAGTACTTATATTTGTCCGACGTAGGTAATATGTTATATCAAAGAGAGCAACTTCAAGTTACCAAGCTGAGTTATCAATAGCATGAAGCAGTTGAATAGACTGGCCATTTGTTATTCCCGGAAGGGTAACATACATATTAAATATATAAAGATACTACATTATATCTATCGTTAGAAATTACAGATTCACAGAAACGAACGTCAAATCAGTACACGATTGGTTCTCCAATCCAGTGCAGTTCTGGCAAAACCAGCTAAACGTTGCTATTTGGTATGCTTCATCAGTCTGTGGAGTATCTTTTAGTCACAATCTTTGTAAGTATGTTTTCTTCTTTCACGTGTACTATCATATAAGGCATATCCTTACAGAAAAAAGTGCACCAATACCGAGGGTCAAGCATGGAATGCATCAAATAATCCGTACAATTAGAGGGCATATGAACGTATTTATTGGGAATTTGCTATTTCTACAAGTAAAGATTGACGTCTGCATGGAGGTAACAATGGTCTAGGTAATCCATACACACATGGCACACACTCTGTTAAAGAAGTCAGTGATGATTTAATGAAATGAGGTCGACTTCTGAGCTTTGCTCTCTTGCGTAACGAGTGGAGAGACGATCATATGAACTTTAAGGGCTGGTGTTGCTTTCACAGTCCAAAAGGTTGAACAACCATAACATGTCGAAATGCTTTGAAAAAATCATTTTAAATAAATCAGAAGGTTTTACTCACCTTGTCAAGGCCTCGTTATTCTCTAATACTGTATTCCAAGGATGATGCCTGTTATGTAGAATTATCATAGGTTGACATGATTTCTCCGAGACCGTCTGAATATATCTTTGCATGTTGTGGTATGTCTTCAAAATTATCTTTATCTATGGCAGCCACTGTTCAGTCCGCACTGTCTGAAGAACCTGAGTAGTCTTTGCAGAAAGATTTGCTTGTGAGTTGTCATAGTCTACAAGACCCAATTCATTACGAATAATGTTGATGCAACCATGGCGCCCAGCTACTGTAGACAACACTAGAGGTTACCGAGTATGAGAATTCATAAAATCAATATCTGGAGAGCCACGCAGTCGCATTATTCTTTTACTATCTATTGTAAACTTGGAACAGTCACTACCAATAGGAGTAACATATTTTTTGTCTTCTTTTAAGACATCGTAATAATCAGTAACAACTGATTGCAAATTTTCCTCATTTACATTAATTCCTTGTCCCATGAAGCTGGTTTCGTAAGTCCCTCCTTCGACTGTTATAGTATCAGTTAGGTTTTCAAGATAAATATGATCCATTTTTGTATGAAACATAAGGAAACACACTTTCAATATAATCAATGTCTTTGCAATACGGACGCAAGTTAAATCCACAATGTAGACTTCAGGATCCATTAGGAGTCAACGCAATTCGCCAGTCTGTAACTATAACTAATAACCTGAGTACTATCATGATCAGAATCAAACACTTCTGGTTCGCTTCTCGGCGCTCATGATGTATTAGAACTGCCTGACTATCATTAACAATTAATTTGTCTTGTACTGACGTTAACAGGGAGCTTGTTCAAAACATAGGTTGTGCAATTGTAAAGAAAATTAGCGGTAATGAGGTCTTTAGTATTGATGACAGCGATGTATACTTTTGTTACATGGATCTCTGGAGAACAGCCAAAGAACAAGAACACTTATCAACAGTATCAAAGTATTGGTAATAAAAAATCAATGAGACTGCGTGTAGGTTCTGCTAGTGGTGATAATACCACCGTAGAAGATGAAGCTGTTGCCAATGCAATAGGTAACCGATTCTATATTTGGCTTGACTTTGAAGGACAGGGCCGATGATTTCATCGTGGTAGCACTGGCCAATGAGATTTCCCTCTACCACTATCAAAGGGGTCCTCTGTCTTGCTGTAATCCCACCCCATACCATAATGCTGCCGCCCCCGAACCGATCTTCTTCCATGACACAATGATTGACCTAACGTTCACCTCGACGTGGGTACACTCGAATCCATCCATCGCTGTAGCGGAGGTGAAAACGAGAGTCGTCAGTGAATAGAACTTGTCCCCACTACATGGCCATCCAGCGTAGATGCTGTCTGCACCACTGTAGACGTGCTTCATGGTGGTTTCCTGTCCAAATGGGACGTCTGGTGGTCTTCTGCCGACAATCCCTGCACATCTGAGGCGATAACGTACGGTTTGTTAAGATATTCGTCAAGGGCCAGGGATGCTTCGTGCAGTCACTGTTGCTGGCTGGAATCGATTTCGTAGGTGTGTTGTTCGAATCCAGTTGTCTTATTGATTATTGGTTACGCGTGGCCTGTCACTCTGACTGCATTCGTCTGTTGCCAACGTTGCCGTAAACACCAAATGGTGTTTCTGCGGACGTTAAATTGTCTTGCAAGATCACGTTGACTCGATGCTGCTTAAAGCTTTACCAATAGCCCACAGACGCTCATTTTCGGACAGGCGTGGCATTTCGTAATGTTGAATAATTGGGTAATTTTGTTGTTTTTCTGAGTGGTTGTTGTCAGCACAATGCTAAACAATGCATATATAATCTCTTTAACACACATGTTTTTATACCCATTCTTGGGTAGTGAAATGCATGGGGCTTGCATAAAAGCCAACTTTTGCATGGAATGCATCCTTTTGCGTTTTTGTGATTTGATTCCATACATGTACTATAATAAACTAGGTTCGGCTATGGTACAACTATACACAGATGTAGCTAGTACGTTTCTTCCCATCCCACCAGAAAATCGCCTGTATCTATTCGAATCTCTCAAGAGAGACCCATTTGTTGGACATGCTTTAAGTGCAGTAGGCTGTGAGTTTTACCATAAATACGGAATGTCCTTAGCACCATTTACCGTCGCTATAATAACGTCTAAGTACTGTCAATTTAAACATAAGGGCCCACCTAATAATAATGGAAGCAGAAACACCACAAGTGAATGCGGAACTGTCACAAGTGAATGCGGAAATGCGTCAAGTTGTGAGAGTGACTAAGAACCCCCCAAAGTAGCAGCGGGTAAAAGGGGGGCTTTAGCCAGGAAGGCAAAACTCTTACTATACATTGAACAGAATTCAAATACTTTATACAGTAGTACACCAGCTGAACGGATTAAAATTTGGGCTCCCTATGCACTAGGAGTTGTTGTTATAGCAGCAGTATTAGACTGGTAAATCTAACGGTGAAGAGAAAACACCACCAGTTTAAAACTTGGACATAGTTCAGTTAGAGTTAAATCCTCATGTTATGCTAAAGAGAGAAAATGACTACTCCAGTAACAGATGGTAAAATGTTGGCATATCATTCAGCAGTTGTTAGTGGCTTAGCTATGGGCTACAATGATTACTAAAGTACCACCATCCAAGCTAAATTTTGATGGTTATGATATTGGTATGATGATCCTAGATGTAGGCTTAGCAATGGCTATTAAAGATATGCTAATCAAACAAGGGCTTATCCCAGAAGACATAATGAAATAATTAAACATTTGAACATTTATGAGCAAAGTTCGAAAAGGCATCAATTGCAATTATGGTCTGTGGAGCCATTGTTAATGATCTAGCTTTTTCCAGGAGTATTTTTTTTAATGTTTTAATATGAGACAATCAAACGCAAGAGAAAATGAAGAGGAGCGGAAACGACACAAAAAGCTTTAAAACAATTCGAAATCGCCCAGTCACAATGGGCATAGGATTGATTTTATCAATGAAGAGCTTCATAGGCAAAATCATTAAATTCAAACGTTTGAGGATGATGAAACTGCCATGCATCAATAGTACCTTGTTTACGAAAAGACTCTTTGACCCAATTGGCATAAAAGCAAAAATTGTCTCGGTTTTACTCACCGTCAGAGGGATAGAAAGGCCACAAGCTAACATTCATTGCGCTGGGCTTGACTGCCACTGCTCTCATCAGCTATGAGCTGGCGACACAGCTCAGCTTATGTGCATTTAGACAGATGATTCTGGAGGTGTATTAAGAGCCATGATGGGCAGCGACACGTCTGACACACATTTTGACATATGATACCAGAAGTGTAAAGTTATCACAATGGCAAAGGGTACATCCAGATGTAAGTTCATACTCATGGGCCAATCCCAAAAATGTTGTCAGACTTGTATGAACGATTTTTGTGGGATACATGCCATTGCAATAAGAAACGCTAACTATACATGTTCCGTTTGCGGGATTTGGGTCAAAGGTCATTATTGTTTATGCAAAGCACACGGATCTGACAAGATACAAATCCAGATTATTTATGAGAGGAAGAAGTATTACCTCAATGAGAGAAATAGATTTGGGAGAATAAGAATCTAGGTACATGAATTAATTCCAATTAGAGATTTGCTTTGCATGTAATAATACATAACAACGGTTTATGTCAGAGAGCTGAAAGCTGAAAGTGGTTATTTTCAGATGAGAAAAGCTGAATTGATTACCTTACTCAGTTTGGATTTCAACAAACCCCCGACTGTTACAGAACTCAAAGCTCAAGTGAGAAACCGTGGGCTGAGAGGTTAATTCCCGAAAGAGAAAAGCTGAATTGATTGCTTTACTTGATAATCAGCCATAATCATGCCGTGATGAGGTTGGAATACGGATATTAATTCCAACATGGATTTGTAATGATGTTAAACCCATCGTATCGAGCAAAATTAATGAGGAATTACATGATTTAAATAGTATAAAATACCTGCTAACAGTTAAAATGTCTTTAAGTCAAAATAACACAAATGATAGAGTTAAATATACCAAACCTTATTTCAAGGGCAACCAAGAAGTTACAACCGAATCTGATTCTATAAGTTCATCATTAGATGCATCAATTCAGCAGAAACAAGAAACTTTAGAGTGCTGGACTAATAGAGGCTCGGTTTGGGGTGTGGATAGAACCAATACTTTATATTTAGATATAGCAAATTATATGCCTTTGAAATGTGGATCTTATATAGATTTACCCTCATACTATAAGAAGAAAAAAGCCATAAATGATTTTTAAAATAATGATGATAACTGTTTAAGATGGACATTACGATCTGCCTCATTTCCTACAGATTCTAAAATTGCGAATAGACCTTCGAGCTATCCCCAAAACGACAGACACAACTTTGAAGACATTGATGCGCCTACACCAATTTCGCAAATTAATAAGGTGGAAAAGCAAAAACATTTAGCTATAAATGTATTGGGGAATTCTAAAGGATCTGTTGTACACAAGATAAGGTCTGCTCCAGAAACATTCCAGGTATCAATTTATTTCTGATTGAAAAAGATGGAAAACATCATTATTCATGGATAAAGAGTTTAAGCAGGCTATTAGGCGATCAATCAAACCATAAGGAAAAGAAATATTTCTGCAAAAGATGTGTGCATGGATACAGCAGACAAGATCTTTTAGAAGCGCATAAAGAAAACTTGATATGTGTTTGGCAGACTGCTATCAGGATCGATTAGCCTTAAGAAGTGAAAAATATATATTAAAATTTGATAATCATTGTAATCAAATACCAGTAGTATTCATAATTTAAATTGACTTTAAAGCACTTATAGATAATTCTTAATTCTTTACACGATACGTTTTAGGTTTACATGTCACCATAAATTACAATTAGTTCTTGTAAACCCAACATTATTGACAAATACTCGAAAACACATGATTGTAAACTATTAATGTACGTTGAAATGAATATATATTGTAAATGCCACAATGATATATCAAGGATCAAGTAGAAGATATATCGACAGTAGCGCTTTGAGTTAATTCAACAGACCTATGTTAACAGCACTACTTTATCCTTTTTAACTAACACCGTCAAAGCTCAATTTTATCTTCTCCTGACGGCCATTATA